TCTGCGCGACTCGCGTCGGTCGTGCCAGCCGCTGGGCCCATTGCCGGCCGCGGGGCGAACTGGGCAAGGTGCCGTCAGGATGGTCGCGCTTCGACCTGCCACGCGCTTCAGATTCTGGTCGTGGAGCGCGGATCTCTTGGTGCAGCGCGGCTGCGAGGCAGCGGGCCGCTGGCGCTGCCGTGCGTTGCCATGGTTGTCGCTGCGCAACTTGGCTCCTTTCCCGCGCGTCGGATGCTCCGCGCGCGATGGCCGTGGGCTGCTTTGCGTCGCGTTGGAAAGAGAACTTTGCCGCGTCAGGGCTTGGCGCCCGCCGCGCTTGGAGCAGCGCCGACCTGTTTCGCCCATGTCTGATGATCTGGCAGGTCTAGTGAGGCAAGGCCATTATTACGGGGCGGAAATTCGGGCAGTTCTCGACGTCTTGTTAACGGTGTAACATCACACTTGGAACCAACAGATGACGTGGACAATGTGTTACCAGGGCAGTTCAGGAACTTCCGCGGTCGCACGCACTTGGGTGCTGGTACTCACGACACATTCAGTTACTGTTGTGGTGCGCGGTAGTTTGCCATGGCCGTGCTTCCCAGACGTCTTCGACCGAGATCGCGTGCACCTTGGCCCCGCGTGCGCGCAGACCTCTGGCTGCCGACGGGCTGCTGTCTACACTGCGTGTTTCGCGCCAGCCCTGAGTGCGATCTACTGCAGGCCTGTGGCGCCGACAGTGGAGGTGGCCGGCCGTGCCCGCGCCGGCGCGCCAGTCGCTCGTGGCTTGCGCGTGTCAGGCCAGGTCTGGGGCGCGTGCGGGGTGTCCGGCGCGCCTCGCCTGGCGGCTCCACCGCAGCAGGGCCCTCGCTGTCGTTGGGCACGGGTCCTTGGCACGTCTTGCCTGGGAGCCGCTACCAGCGGCCACTCTATCGCGTGGCTCGCGCCTCCGATCGGCGCCGGCCCGCGGCAGGCTCTGCCTGGGAACCGCTACCAGCGACCACGCAGCGACAGGGCCCGTGCTGCTTCTCAGCTCAGCTTTCCAACGCACCCTGTTCGAGAGCTGCCGCCGCTGGCTAATCCGACGCCTGGGTCTGTGCCATCATGCGGCGCGGCCCCAGCAGATGTTGGCAAGTCTGGAACGGAAGCCTCCTCGAAACAGATGCCGCTGGCACCGCGCGACATGTGCCGTCGCGACGAGTGCATCGTCGGCGCATCGATGACACGCGCGAGCATCGCGATGCCTGTCATAGCAACGAGTGCGGCAGCGACGTCTGCAATTGGTGCTCAAACTTGCGGTGCTACGGGATGTACCTCGACTTGTAACTGTAGGTCGAACGGGGCACTCAGGGTTGATCCAGAGCCACGCGCCAAAAAGCTTCCACGGCGTTCGCTTTCGCCAGGCCACCCGCGCGACCGCGCGCCAACCAACGCCGCGCTGCCTGCGCGCCGACCCGGCAGACATCGCATTCTGCGCCTGCTCGCTCAGGGGGCGCGCGAATATAATCGTGTTAGCTCGGCGCTGATGCGCGCGCGCGCCTGAGTGCGCGGGGTCAACGAGACCCGACGCCCAACGAAATCTTGAGAGCGTTGGCCCAAGTGCGACCTTCGCGCATGGGGGTGAGCTTTGCCGGCCCCAGTTGTGTGAGCAGCCAATGTTGGGCGATTAGGCCAAGCGCCGATAGCGGCCAGGTAGGGTCGCCATGGCGCGCGACGCTGGTTCGCCCAGCCGCAGCATGGCAGGACTGAGGCAGTGTGAGCGCCCGCCCGTGCGACCCTGACCGTAGCGAGCACGGAGGAATGCGCCATTCGCCCGTGGACTCCCATTCGCTGTAATTCCTTGGGATTTTGAGTTGTGCCACTCGCTCCCGCTCTGTGGGGGATATTGTGAAATAGTACTCGCCCCACTTATTGAGGAATGTTTGGAACTGTGACTGCTCGATCTCATTTCTTGAGACATACGTGTAACTATGTATACTTGATCTCACATAGTGGAATGTGCAGCGATATTTCGCGACATAGATGCCACCGACGATTTGTATCGGATATCACTTAGACAAGCATGTGCTATTCACGGCCATGTGCACTCCCAACACGCACGTGGCCTTGACCAGCAACGTCGACGAGAGCCACAACAGGTGTCCGGTCAAATGTCTGGTACAGGTTGTCTAGTTTAAAAGTTTTTATGCAAAGCGGGTTTCTGACGGCTTCCAGCATGCTTTGATCATGTGGATAAGTGTGACCGCGTCGACGCTTTCGTCTCGTTATGTGCCTATCAGTCAACGGAACAACCAGATCGTTGTGCGACGGTGCCCGCATGACCTGTCTCCCACGCCACCGACCGCACTGGCAGTGATTATTTCCTAGGGAACCAGTGCTCTCAGGCACCCTGAGTGGCGTCTTGGAGTGCGCGCGCGGGTGGTCACCGCGCAGGGCGCGACCCCTTCGACCTCGTGCGCCTGGCCAGCGTCTACAGCGGAAGGAAGAGTGAGAGGCGGACTTCTCTCTGCGCGCCGCCGACCACCAACCGCGCGACGACCGCAACCACGACGTGTTCTACCAGTGCTCGAGCAGGAGCCCGCGCGCCCGTCGGCCGCCATCCTGACTCACGCGCGCGCGGCGCTGCCTCTGCACAGGTCGGGCGCGTCGCGTGCCGACCTAGGAACCTCGCAGCCCGCTGCGTCCATTGGCAAAGCGTGCGGTCTCGCCGGCGCCCCTCCGAGCAGCATGGCCCGGAACGGGGTGTATGATTGTGCGGCGTGTTTGCGGGGCGCCCTCGTGCGCGCCGCGATGCTATGCGGCTGCCATGTGACTGTCCTGCGTGTTTCGCGGCGCGCCCCCCCGCGCGCCGGGGCGCCATTGCGCCGCTGCGCAGCCGCGCCGCGCAGTTGCGGGCGGCGCGTCAAGCAGCGCGCGCGAAGGCCGCAAAACGTGCGCTGCATGGCCGCGCCGTCGCGAAATGGCCGCGCGCGAGCCGAAGCGCGGCGCGCGCGCGCCTGCGCGACGCTGCGCCTCGCCAAGTGGCGCAGCATAGCGCGCATGCGCGCGACGCTGCGACGAGTGCGCGCGCGCCGACAATGGGCGCGCGGCCGTCGAAACCGCGCCGGCGTCCAGGCCAGGCCAACAACGTGCTTCGCCGCGACGGCCTGCCAGATCATGTCGCGTAAGTGCATTGCCTAGGCGCGGTCACATTCAGCAACCATACTCACACTAAGCGCCAATGCGTGCCCATGTAAGGTCCATACAACTCGACCTCAGCTGCTGCGATCACAATGTCGACGACGCCGCCGACTACAGCTGACAAAACAACGACGACGACCACACCGTCGACAACGACAGGCGTGACTGCAGCCATGACATCGGCTCTGACTACGCCGATTTCAAATGGCCACCCCACCGTCCTGGATGTCATGGGCTACATGATCTACGGGGTCGCTGACGCTGGCACGATCGTCACCGCAGGGGCGTTCTGCCTCCACTTCAGACGAGTCCGAAGCAGAGCCCCTCCCAAGAGTCATCGGCCACGCGGCCGGGACACTTGCCAACGCGATTTTCGCAAAGTTCCAGCAGGCAGCGCCAGTCCAGTCCACGAGACCACGACCTGCCTGCTGAAAAGCACCGGCGCAGAGGCCCTGATGCAGGCCAGTGCACCCCGCGCGCATTGCCATGTTCAGCCTGGATAGCCAAGCGAGCAGCAACCCACAAGCACGCGCGACGCGCGAGACACGTAAGCCCTCAGACCAGGATGGCGACGATCTTTTCTTTCCCACTTTGGCATTGCGCCGAAGCAACCATCAATTGTCATGGGATGCGCGTGCCGAGCAATGTAACGCAGTAGCAGCAAGTACGGGTGACAAGTCGTGCCCCTCCCCCTCTCTCGCACTATCTACATGTCTGTTCAGGGGATCGGTCACACTGTCCCATGCTCCAGAACCCTCTCCTTGGTGCTGCTCGGGCCCAGGTGCACCGACTACGGTGCTAGCGCTGTCTTCGAGGTGTCGTCTGCGAGCCGTAAACTCACCGAGGTCGGCTGCGTCCACCTGTGCACCGCCAACTCGCACCGTCACCCAGACAACAGTGCGGCCATGTCTCCTGCGCTCTTCAGTGCGCCACGCCGCGTTCACACGCAACCGAGCAGCACGCGAGATCGTGCGCGAGAGGTACCACTTGCGCGCCGATCTCCGTGCACGCACTCAGCCCAGTGCGCGGCAGCCAACGCAAGCATTGTCATGCGCCGCTTGGGCTGGGAAGGTGGGTCACACTACGATGTGGACATAATGTGGACTTGGACTGGTATGCCGGTACTACCTACCCACCAAGATATCAGCGAACTTCGTGACATTTTCGTTGCGCCTTGCATTGGGATGCGAAGTGTTTTCCTTCATTTCGTACATCACATGCCGTCGTCCTCGTCATCGCGCATTCCGACGTTGTATACCAGTCTTTATATTATACGTATTTCTGGCAGTAGCTCAGCCTGGTTCGCGCGGCGATCTACAGCTTGCGAGCGTCGGCTCCGACCTCTGGGCGGCTCGCGCGAATCGTGAGGGCAGGCTAGTGCGTCTCATGCGCACGGCACGACTCATTGCGCAACCACCACTCCACTTTGACCTAGTGCTGCCACACAGCACGGCCCTGAGTGCATGGACGACCAGGCACGCATCCACGCGCGCGCGGGCACGCGCGCGCAGCACGCAACATCCGAGAAGAGGTCGCCAACAATTCAGGCAACTTCCAGCGAGCAACAGCGCAGTTGTGGCCAAGGAGGCCCCTGCGTACGTCAAGGAGCTGCTGACCTCCAGGCGGACTCCTACGCTATCCCGTCGTCACCTCGCCGAGGAAGTTTCGGGGCGCTGGAATCGTCCCGAACGGCGGCCTGAGCCTGCATCGCGAGGCTTCCAGCATGAACAGTCATGCGCCCTGCCGCACCGCCTCGACGTGGGTGCTGACGTATCGACACCGCCACCATCGCCTTCGCCATGGCCCTCGTGCCGCACGCTGTCCCGTACGCTGCTTCGCAGGGCAGGATGCGAGGCAGCGCAGCCGTCCGCGACGCAGGGCAGTTCGACCGCGCGGTGTCCACCGAGGATGTCGAGTCTAGCCTCTCCGACGCCGTCGAGGACACCTTCGGTGACGGCGCCGCCGCTGCCAGCCACCGCGGGTGCATCCAGGCCAGCGTGGGGCAGGCCTGCCGGAAGCTGCCCAAGCACTCGGCAGGGAGGCTTGGGCCGCAGGCGACGCGCCACAGCATGCGCCGCTGCTCTGCCAAGGAGCACGGCTGGCTCGCCAACGGCCTCGAGCACCACGGTATGCAGAAGAACATGTCATGGGCGCACGAGGTCGACCTCCTCGCGCTCATGGGGGAGCTCCTCGAGGCACGCCACGCCAGGCATGCGCTGTCGCCCGGCGACGTCGTGGCGAGGGCCGCGACTCTGGAGATGCTGCTCGTGAGCGAGTCGCTGGGCCTGCCCCAGACTGCGCACGCGCTGAACGAGTGCGCCGTGGCGGACAACATCGACGCCCACGCTCTGCGCCACGTCTTGTCCTCACACCTCCTCGTGCCTCCTCGTCCGCCAGCCGGGCGCCCGCGGCAGCGACGCGGGTGTGCAGCGGCGCCAGACCATCGCGAACGCAGTGACCAGTGCCAGTGGCGGGTGGCTGGCGCTCGCAGCAGCTGAAGCCGACGCGATGCGGAACCGCGACTTCGAGAGCCACATCTGGACGAATCCCTCTGTGGCGAGGACGTACGGGTTCGGAGAGGCGTCGGGGATCGTCGAGGACCTCGCGCAGGATTGCGGCATGAGGCAGCACGTGGAGCGCCGCCAGATGAAGCAGGAGCTCGTGAGCCCGGGCCCCGACGGGTCGAGCCACGTGCCGCTCGAGGTCTTCTGCTCTCAGCCGCTGACGGCCGACTGCCAGTGACTGAGTCCGTCGAGTGCCTGCACGTGGCCGGCGCGCTCTATGGGTCCAGCGGCGGCGTCCGCATTGCGAACTACATGGCTGGGCGCTCCAATTGCATCGCCAGATCGACGTATTACTCAGTGTGATGCCCCAGCGACTGCGAGGGCATGATGAACGAGCTGGCGGGCAAGGTCAGGCTGCCCGCCGCCTCCCAGCCTGCGGGGGCGACCGCCGCGGGCGCCTGCGCCCAGATGTCCAGTCCCATGGCGAACAGCAGCGGCTGTGACAATATGCTGAATAACGTGCGCGCCTCAATGCACGACGTCTGGCAGATTTCTGAGCTGATCCCACCGAAAGTTGGCAAGATCTACCCTGTGAAGCCCGTCGTGGTCATCGCCGTTAAGGACTTCATGCCGATGGCGACCTCCCAGGTTGCTGGCCTCCAGGAGGCCGCGGACGAGTGAAAGGGTCTGGCCCGCCAGTGCGGCGTCAATGCACGGCAGTGCTGGACTTACGCCTCATTCGTCGCTCCCGTGTTAGCCCTTGAAGTGGGCACTTACTCGCCGACGGCGGCCTGGTGCTATAGCCGCCTATCGGGACTGGTGACTGGGGGGCGGCACTGCGCTGCCCGACGTGCGCCAGCGCACTTTCTGTGCTACATCATGACAGCGCCCTCGCACGCACAGTTGCACGCGAGCGCGCCGACGCGCCCGCGCAACAGTGCCTGTCCCGGGGCACTGCTGGCGAGGTCACGCCCAGGGTCGCTGAACATGTGACATCAGCCACCAAGCTCGCCATCGTGATTTTGACAGCGACACGCAGAACCACCCGGTCGTCATGGCAGTGCGCGACCCCATGTCTTGGGCAAGGACAGCTGTCCGAACCAGCTCCCTTCGCGCGGCTGCTAGCAGCGCGAATCCCGCCGTTTCCGCAACGGATCGACGGGAAGTGCGTGTGCCTCCACTTGGCGCAGCGCCATCCTTGTCCTCCTGAGCGCGCTGCGCAGCATATGTGCGCGTGCGTCTTGACAGCCGCCGCCGCGTGCCGATGGGCATGAATCTGAGTATGTTTGAGTCCGAGGTGCCAGCGGCAAGGCACTGAGCGACTGAGCTGCGACGAGTACCGGATGACCCAAGCACGCGCTTGTCGCAGATCTCGTTCGACACGAGCACCGCCGAGAAGCCGTTCTATGCCATTTGTGGCGGGCCAGCCTTTCCGTCGATTGCATGGGTTTCTTGTCCTGGGGAGATTGGCGCCGCGCTGAGAATTGCAATGGCGTTTTCCATCGCGAAGCTCAGGCGTGCGCAACGCGCCAGGCATTCGATAGCTGTGTGCACGAGTGCTTGGCTTTGGCGCCTCAGCACCTCCTGCGCTACGAGGTGCCGGCACGACGGCGCGCCATTGCAAAGGTCAGTGCTGAATCACTGGCCACGCTTCTTTACAGACCAGCCGGCGTGTATCGCGGTGGCCTGGCACGTTGGTCACGCAGTGCTGCCGACAACGGGGCAACTACGAACAGCCGATGTAGGCGCCTACGACGCTGCGCTGCTGTTGGCCGCCTCCAGACAGCACGCGTCGCGTCGGTGCCGATCGGCAGTCTCCAGACCAACGCGCTGACCAGTCAACAGCTGTGATTGATAGGCGTTAGCAGCCAGAGGCGCGCTGTCGCAAACAGCGGGACGAGCTGCATCCGCGCGCGACCGACACAAGACGGGATGGTGCTCTCCAGCTACTCTGCCGCGCAAGTGACGCAACGGCCAGTTGCGCCCGCGGGCGCCTGCTCACGGAAGAACGACGAAGGCCAGTGGCCACGCCAGCAGTGTGCCGGAAACATGGCCATTGAGCGAATTTGGCTGGACGGTATGATCGGTGCTGCGGCTCGAGCGCACGCCGGGCGCGATCTGTGCCGGGCCCCCACGAGCAAACACTCCAGGCTGCGAGGCAACATCGGCCGGTCGCACTGGGCGAAGAGCCTGTGTGTTGGCACCTGTGCCGCTGGGTGCCTTCGTGGCGTCCCAGCAAAACAGGCGGGTTGGCAGCCCGATCGTCACCACAGCTCGACGGGGCTGTGGGAGAGACTCTTGCCCTGTGGTTGGCCAGCCACAGTAGGTGCGGGCCCGCCGTACCACCCCTGAGAGGCCCGATGGGGTTACTCGAAGGGGTCCCCCGACGTGGGGGGCGCGGGAACTTCAGTCCTTGGGCAGCGGGGCCTCCGCTGCTTGAGGCCGGCGGCCAAGTGGGGGTGGTGCCGGTGGCCGTGTCTCGGGGTGGCATCTCGAGGCACCTCGCAACGGCGGCGCGGATAACGCCGGGGGCGGTCCGTGCCGCCGTTCGTGTTGCGAGGTCCGACTGCATGTGAATTCATGCAGGCACCTTGGGCACCTCCCTTCGGGTTGTGTCGCCCAGGTGTTCTGTCCGGGCACACAAAAGCGAAGAGCCTGTCCTTGGGCTGTCCCGGCAGTGGGGAGATTGCGATCCACGACCCTGGTCAGGGTCAGCTGAGCTCATCTGGCGTATGAGCTGACCACGCGCGAGCTGGCAGGGCTCCCAGAGTTCGCAGGACTCCGTTCGGGCTGATGCTCCTCAGCGATGGGTGAGGTGTGCCAGGCGTCCATTGCAAAGGGAAAGCAGTGAATGTTCAGGCGTCTCATTGCGGGTGGCCCCCCTGTAGCCTAAGTGGTGCGGAGGGGCACCTTCCATTGCCCGGTAGCCCCAACTCCAATAGGAGGAGTCCGCTGCCGTATTTCTCACAGCTGGCCAGCGTACCTGGTGCTGTAATGAAAGGAAAAGGACCGCCGCTCTGCTATCTCTCATGCTACCATTGCCGCCGTCTATCTCTCACCTTTCACTGCGGCCATTAGCAAGTCTAGTTCCTCTCCACCTCCCGCCGAGCTCCTCCAGGAGACTCCCTGAGCTGTGCAGAAGTTCCAAGAGGACCCCGCGACGGTCCCAGGAGGCCCCCAGGTTGCCCCAGGAAGCTTCCAGCAGTTCAAGGAGGCCCCAAGAGGCCGCCAGAGTGCTCGCAACAGAGCTTCCCAAAGGGCCACATCAGTCAAAAACATGATGAAGCCCAACGTGTTTTCCTCTCTGCTCGGGAATGTGCATGTTTGTGGAAGTGTGGCTCCAGGATGGCTCCGGCCGCCCAAGTGGTCCCGAAGATAGTTGCACTATTGCTCAGGGATGGCTCGGGACGTCTGCGAAGACAATGCCTTCGTGCGACTTCTGATACCAACGCGTGGGCTTCCAAGCCAAGGGCCCGATCCTCCAGACGCGTCCCATTTGATGCGTTATACGCTTGGCCCCATGGGAAGTACGATTCGAGAGCACGCGAGCGCTCGCGCGATGGTTTCGGTATGGGAAGGTGCCGCCGCCGCTGCGCCGCCATCGTTTTCGCCTTTCTGGGCCTCCTGGGGGGTCCTCGTCGCCACTGGTGGATTTGCTTCGAATTTCTAGCAAAAACGCATCTTGGGAGAGGTATGAGAAGTAAACAGGCGGTTACTTTTTCTCCTCCTCCCCCTTCTCCTTTGGGGTCGCTGGCTGCGCTGGCAGCAGACCCTGATGTAGATGCGCGTTGCGGCTCTAGCCCCCTGCGCCCTTGAGAGGGCATTCCCAGGGGAACGATGGTGATGACGTCGATTATGGTGGTGTTGATAGTGGTGATGATGATCACGATGATTTTGATTCAGGTGATGATGATGGTGATGGTGATGGTGATGAAGGTGGTGGTGGCGATGATGAGGATGATGATGAGGACGACAAGGTGTAGGAGGAGGAGGAGGAAGAGGAAGAGGAAGAGGAGGAGCAGGAGGAGGAGGAGGAAGATGGCGAACGATGTTGTGGTAATGGTAATTTGATAGCGATGGCCAGGTTAGGCCCATGACGCATCAACGACGCTGCAGCACACACCTACGTTCACACGCACCTTCTCACAACTCCCTGCGAATATTATTACGGGGAACCCAAGGAACAAAGGAGGAAGAACAGGAGCAGGAGGAGAGGGGAGGCAGGCGAGGCGTGAGGCGTAAGGGGTAATTGAGGAATATGATAGTGACCTCTAGCTTGCATTCTTTCAGAATAACTGTTGTTGATCCCCCGTATCCGCTGTCCGTTTTGTCTTTCTATTAAGTCCCCCTCCCGTGGCTAACGCATTTGTTGTCCAAGGGGAAGTCTTGGGCCTCAGAATGGGTTGCTGGCCCCCGAACTACCACAACATCGGCTCCCGCCCTATACTTCTCTTCAGTTCACTCAGAATCTCGCTCTCTCGCGGGAGGTCCTCGCAGCTTATCCAGGATCCGCACCCTCGCGTAGGACTTCCTCGCAGTGTACTCCGATGCCGCGCCCTCGGCACTCGGGAATCACGCTCTCGCTCTGGACTTCTTCACGACCTACCTTGGGAAACGCCCTGTCACCCGAGACCTCCCCGCGATTCCCGTGGTGGGCCGTTGCGCTTTGGCGACACCCTCGGCTCGACCCAGTCGTTTGGGAGCCTGGGCCCGCCCGGAACCCGCCCTGTGCGCGCCCTCTCGCCCGACCTGCCCGTCTGGTTCTGCCGCATGCGCTCCTGCTCCTGGCTCCCCTTCTAGTCTTGTGGAGGACGATGGATGGAGAGGAAGCATGTTGCCAAGTAATTTTCCAG